CAAAGAAACACCATAAATAAAAGTAACGCAACATGCACTACAAAGACAGGTCCACTTAATAAAGTTACACGTCCTAGCACAGTTAAAAAACACAAAACTCCTTCTTCACAGAAACACACCACATTATCACAACCCACTCGTATTCAACCCAAACGCAAAGCCAAAGAAACACTTACACAATAAACTCTATTTAAGAAAATTACAGGAATTATTATAATGATATTTTTGTTTTGTTTTCTTCTTTCCTGATAGCGTCGACTATTGTGGCCATTAATAGCTATGTTGGTAAGTATGAATTACATACTATCCCTAGATTTCCAATAACCCTACATAACTTCACCAGACACAGACACTAATCGTTACTTGATTTTAATCCGTGAGATTAGTTAACCGGGCTAGACCTGAGTTCTCACAAGAAACACCGACCATAATAATAATAATGTTTATTGTGAAAAACACAAATGGTAGGAGTTCAGCCAAAGCTGTTCTTCCACTCCACCAGCAAGTACAGATACATTAAACTAACTTAATTTTAAGTGCAATATAAAAGATAGAAGATAAACTATAATAACAGAAAGATAACTTACAAATAATGTTAAATAGATGTAAATGAAAATAGTTAAGTATAATATCGTTGAGTCAAAGTTATTCAATGGTACAATTCAATCATTTGCGGTTTCAGATTATTTTTAAAAAAATTCTTACTCTTAATGTCTCCCTTGAATATATTTATTTAACAAAGTGGGCGCTACTACTGAGTAGCTACATTCATATTTTGAAGTTCTATGGGCTGGAATATTGTACAAATGTTTGAACCTTGTATTCACGCTATGCAAATAAGATCGCAAAATCAACTGGCTGTATAAGTAACCTGAACTTTTATTTACAAGTAGATTATATAAAAACCTAACGTATTGTAAACAAAACGTTTCTTCCATTTTTAAGATTGAGTTTTTGTAATAATATGGCGTAACATGTGCACTATAGTTAATACTAAAAGAGTAACGTAAACAAGTGTTTTGTAACATTTGAATTTTGTTCCTATACACCTTTGTAAGAAAACTGTAATATACAATGCTGCAGTAATTGAAGTTACTCATAACTAGGCTTGTGGCTAAAGACCATTTCAATGAAGACGACAACACCTTTTTAAATTTATAAATATATTTGAACTTCGCAAAAGATACCTGCAACATTTTAGATACGGGTTTTTCAAAATTTAAATGTTTATCAAACCACACCCCCAGATTCGTCCCCACATCACTAAGCGGAACAGTTACGCCACCTACTTTTATTTGCTCACTTAAGTGCTCTAATGCGCGTTCACGTGAAGTTTTATCACCAATACACATAGGTATTGTTTTAGTCGGATTTAGAATCAAACCATTTGCCACAGACCACTCCGAAACAAGACGCAAATTGTTGTTTAAAGTCCGTAGTATGCCAATTTGGCGAGAAGCAATTTATGGTTAATCACATCAAATGCTTTGCTGTAGTCCATTAGTACCAGTAGGGTGACGTCCTTTTGATCAATTGCTGTAGCAATGTCGTTAGTAATTTTGAGAAGTGCTGTGTTTGTACTGTGAAATGGCCGAAATCCTGATTGAACGTTGGGGATGATATATCGGTGGACATGTTGATGTAATTGTTCGTACACTACTCTTTCCAGAATTTTTGAAAGGGTCGGTAATATACTGATTGGACGCAGGTCGCTCGTGGAAGTTGACGACGATCAGTATGCAACAGGCTAAATAAATAATAAATACTTTGTGAATGTCCCGCTCTAGTCCAACTGAGACGATCCATGGTGGAGGAATCCTTGCCGGACATGGTTACGATTAGAGCGACTTCCCCTTCCAGCGGCCTAAGGATCGTCTCACGTGTGGGATGGATTGAGTGAAAGAAATTAAATGTTATATTTGTTTTAATACATTTTGAATATAATACCGTTAATAGCTAGTATAGCTGTTTGAATATGATCATCGAAATGTCACATTTGACGTACGTATAAAAAAAATTATTTTTCAAAAAGTTCTGCAAAACCGGATATATCCGATTTATTTTTTTGTATAACACTGCCTGTTTTAAATTAAACTTGATCCAAATATATAAGATTGTGTGTTCACTACCAAATCCAAACAAACCTATTTCGAAATGTCCCATATACAAGGACTAGAGAGTTTCGCCTGTAATGGTGATCTACACTCGGTGGGTAAAATGGAGGAGAGCTTTCGAAATTTACCTGGAAGTAGCTAACATTGAAAATCCCACTCAGACACGCGAGCCGCATTACTTCATATAGGAGGTGGCGGTACAAGAAATATATCATAACATACCAGGACAGTGATGCCAATTTTTCCAACTGAATATTCCCACAATAAAGTCACAATTTCCCCTTTTTCCTCTCCAGGTATTCGCAAATCACCTAATCATTATAGGTTTGTTCCTACATAACGTTAAACGGTTTTAAAACCGTCAGGATTGTGCGCAGTACATTTTAAGTGTTCCAACACAGTTTTTCGATGGACTACTAGTTGGAATAACTTGTTTCTACATAAAATGCAAACTGTCAGCTTTCCGTTTGCAAATCGTCAAACCGATTTGAGAATTATTTGCAAACCACTAGTCTGGCGCACGCGCAAATAATTGTAGTTCATTTGTTTTAACACCTGATTAGGAAGCATAACTTTATTTATTTATGAATTAAAGCATTGCACAAAGTTTGTTTCTTATAAAATAGCAATATTATATTACAATTTGTGTAAAATGACCTATCTATACTGAAATTGAGTAAGTCATAGTGTTGATGCACGATCGAAGTTTGTTTTGATGCATCGTTTAGTTTTCCAGACTACATTACAGAATGAGTGATATTACTTCTGGCACTGATAGTGACAATTCCACTAGTAGCTCTGATTTGAATGAAGACGACGATGAACTTTTCCTTTTTATACGGCCCAAGAATCAAAACTACAATGAAGAAACGGTTCCACAGTATGGCGTTGAATTCCTCGAACATTTCAGACTAAATCGACCAGTTGTAGAGGCCATTGCTGAAGATTTTGCTTGAAGTGAACAAAACAAACGTCACAGTGGCATGTATGGGAAACTAACACCACTCCAGCAAACACATATCTTTCTGTGGTTCGTTGGACATCAGACAGCTTCTTTTAGAGATGTGGCAGATCGGTTTAATATTTCAATTAGCAGCCTCTTTAGAATTATTAAACGACTGACATTCTACTTAAGCAACCGATCACCAGAAATAATACAATGGCCCTCCCAAAATGAAAAGGTCGAAATTGAAACACATTTTCGCAATAATGGATTCCCAGGTGTGATTGGGGCTATTGATGGCTCCCATATCAAAATTGACAAACCATCAAAAGACCCCGATTCGTACATTAACCGAAAGGGTTATTATTCAATTCAAGTAAGTTGAGATCATTCAAATGACTACTTCATAACATTATTTTAGTTGCAAGTTGTATGCGACCACCAAAGAAAAATTCGAGACATTTTTGTGGGGTACCCTGGCTCCGTACATGACAGTAGAGTTTTTCGAGTGTCTCCACTATCCCAAAGTTTGGCAGAGAAGTGTGGAAATTTTTATCTTTTAGGTGATAGTGGATATCCCCTTTTACCTAATTTACTAACTCCATTTAAAGATAGGGGTCAGCTTACAAGGCATCAATTACAATACAATAGAAGGTTGGCCACAAATCGCAAACATTAATTTGGGTTGACTTGGTTAAAAGATGCTTTCGCAAGGGTGTTCGATCCAAAATCAACCACTGGAAGATATAACACGCACCCCCAACTCGGGATCACAAATCGACCGTCTTTCTAAAGCAGGTGGCGAGAAAAGAAGACGCTAACTTTCTTGTTTCCGGTCACGATGCAACCGACGACGAATAATTCCAACCAACCACGAGAGCCGATGGATATGTCAATACCATAAATGGTAATATCTAATGCTTATCGATAAAGGAAACGAATTTAAAACCAATGACAGCAAGGTATCGAATTACAGTAAACTGACGTCATTGATCGGTAGATCGAGAAACTAAAACGGGCAGGCAACACAAAAATATAAAAGTAACTAGAGAATTAACATATTGGTTGCATTCAACGATGCGCGAACATGTAATACAGGGTAATGGAAATAGAAATATGACTACAAAGGTTAATACTATTTTAAACTGTTACAAACATTTCAGATGTTATTTGTATGGTAGAAAGTTCACTATTGTTACAGATCACATACCCCTCAGGTATTTATTAAATTTAAAGGACGGAAACCAACGACTACTAAGATGGTCATTATTAATTTCAGAATATGACTTCGATATTATACATCGACAAGGTAAACTTCACGGAAACGCAGACGGTTTAAGTAGAGCTTTTGAATCAACAACTAGCACGGATGACAAACGGACAGATAACCAAATAAATGCAATAACTAGACAAAACAAACTAGACGAAATCATTCCGATTTGTGATAGGGAATCAATACTTAGAGAACAACAAAAAGATACGTACTGTCAAACTATTATTCAGAAAATTCAGTCAGGAGACAACGACTTTTACTTAGACGCAGACAAAATGATTTTCAAGAATGAAAACGTTCAGGATAGATTAGTAATACCAAATTCGTTAATATTAAAAATTATAAATGATTACCACTCACTACCTATTTTCGGACACCAAGGAATAGCTAAAACCCTTTCAACTATTAAGCATAGATGTTACTGGCCTAACATGACGAAACATATAACAGACTTTGTTACGAGATGCCATGAATGTAATAGGAGAAAAACATCACCACATTTATCTAGAGCACCTTTACAACATTTTCCAGAATTAAACTATCCATTCCAAAGAGTATCTTTAGATATTGTAGGTCCATTACCAACGACAGACGAAGGTAACAAATATCTTTTAACTTTTATAGATCATTTTTCAAAATACGTAGAATTAACACCATTGCCAAATCAAAAAACAGAGTCCATTGCAAAAGCTTTCATAATAAAAGTTATAACTCGTCACGGAACCCCTGAAAAATTATTAACAGATCAAGGAGCAAATTTCATTTCAAATTTAATGAAAGAATTATGTAAAGAATTAGGCATAATAAAATTGCAAACCACAGGTTATCATGCAATGGGAAACGGGGCACTCGAACGAGTACACCGAGATATAAAAAATTTCTTAAGTCATTATGTAAACAAACATCAAACAGATTGGGATCAATTTAGCCCATACTTCGAAATGTCCCATAATTTCACTATTCATAGTTCAACAAATTTTAGTCCTTATTTTTTAATTTATGGTAGAGACCCAAAATTTCCAATAGACAAGACCCTAGAGCCAATTAGGAAAAAATACGACATAGATTCAAATTATTGTTCAGAAGTTTTAACTAGATTAAATATAGCATTTAGAGAAGCCAGAGAAAATAATAAAAAGGCCACAGAAAAATACACAAAACATTACAACAAAAAATCAAAAATTCTCAAATTTAATGTAGGAGACTGTTATGTATTTGGCGGGAGTGCGCGCGCGTTAAGAGAGTGGTGGGTGTGCTCCGATATGCTAGTGTTTGTTAGTTCTTGCTTAGCTATGGTAGTAGAATGTAGTCTGTTACAATAAAGTCGAGCTAGAGTAGTTGAAGTAATACAGAGTATTATTCAATCGCGACACGTGGTTGTGTTTCCCGGACAACACAACAATTGGCGACGAGAGGGGATCACGGTAAATCGGAATAAATGGCGGGTTTTCGTAGTTTACCAGAATTTCGACCGACCCAGGAGAAAGTGAAGGCAATATGGGTCACTCCAGAACCTACATGTAAAAAGGAGCTGCAAGCATTTTTAGGTTTGCTGAATTTTTATCATACCTTTCTCAAGGGCAAAGCTGACATAGTCGAGCCATTGCATCGATTGCTTGATGAGGACAAACCTTGGGAGTGGACAGGTATTCACAAAATTGCTTTTGAATCTGTAAAAAGCCTAGTTACATCAGATTCCTTGTTGGTTCACTACAACCTCGAGTTACCACTGGTGATGGTTTGCGATGGATCACCTTGGGGGGTTGGTATTGTTTTAAGTCACATCATGCCGGGGGGAGTGGAAGCTCCAATTGCTTTTCATTCCCAAACACTGTCAGCCACGCAGCGAAACTATGCACAGCTAGATCGAGAGGCATTTGCCATCATCGCAGGAATAAAAAAATTCCACAAATACCTATATGGCAGGGAATTTACAATTATCACGGACCACAAACCGTTATTGGGGCTATTGGGAGCGACGAAACCGACTCCCGGGATATTATCACCGCGAATGCTAAGGTGGATTTTATTCTTAGCCAACTACCAGTACGAGTTAGAGTATCGACCGGGGGCGAAAATTCAGCATGCTGACGCGTTAAGCCGGTTACCAGTGTCATCAATCGGGGCGGATCCTGAGGGTTTGGGGGACGTCCTGATGATTGAAATGATGCCAGAGAAGATTCTTAATGCAGAACAAGTCGAGAAGCTAACCGGTAAAGACTTAATTCTTTCGCGAGTGCGTGATTGGCTGCTTAAAGGGTGGCCTAGTGACATTCCACCTGAATATATACCATTTCGGAACAAACGCGCGGAATTGTCAGTATATAAAAACTGTGTTCTGTGGGGTTCAAGGGTAGTAATACCTGAGAAAGCGCGACAACAAGCCGTTGAATTATTGCACGCGACCCATCAAGGTATTGTGCGGATGAAAGCGCTTGCTCGTAGTTACATGTGGTGGCCAGGTTTGGACCAGGACATCGAGAAAATTGTGAAAGAGTGTAAAAAGTGCCAGGTAGTTGGTCATGCGCCGCCGCGTGCGCCAATTCACCCATGGGAGTGGGCTTCTGGACCCATGGTCGCGAATTCACGTGGACCATGCAGGTCCAATAAAGGGACAAAATTTCTTAATTGTGGTAGACTCGTATTCGAAATGGCTCGAGGTAAAAAAAGTGCCGTCTGTGTCCTCGGGGGCTACGATTTGCGCGCTTCGAGAAATCTTTGCCACACATGGGCTGCCTAATGTAGTAGTCAGCGACAATGGGACAGCATTCACATCTTCCGAATTTGCAGAATTCCTTAGGAAGAACGGAATTCGACAGGTATGCGTGGCACCGTATCACCCTTCGTCAAACGGCCAAGCCGAAAGAATGGTGCAGTTTACCAAGCTAAATTTGGCGAAATTGGGGGAGGGAGATTGGTCGCTGAAAATCTCCAGATTCTTGCTGGGCCAACACACCACACCATGTGCCATGACAGGGGTGAGTCCAGCGGAACTGTTACAGAAACGAAAACTACGTACTTGTTTGGATCGAGTCCGACCAGATTTTGTACAATCAATGCAGCAGAAACAAGAAAAGCAGGCCGGGACCACGAAAGCTCCCAGACAATTTGAAGCGGAACAGGACGTCTTCATTAGGGGGTATGGTGAAGCTAGAAAATGGGTTCCTGCCACTATTGTTAGATCGACTGGGCCAATTTCGTACGAGACCAAGGACACCGAGGGGAAAATGGTACGTCGACATGTGGATCAGATCAGAGATCGTGGGGCACCATCGTCATCCAGCACCGACTATCCACCGAGAAGAACCTCATCGGAGACATCGGAGAACATTCCTTGCAGCAGCGTACCAGACAACGAGGGAATCCCGAAGGAGAACATCGTAGAGACACAAAGTGATGTGAGTGAGCAGGCAGTAGGGAAACGAGTGCGCAAAAGACCCTTACGTTTAGCCGATGATGTGCTTGAAAGCTAGGGGGGAGGAGTGTTATGTATTTGGCGGGAGTGCGCGCGCGTTAAGAGAATGGTGGGTGTGCTTAGATATGCTAGTGTTAGTTCTTGCTTAGATATGGTAGTAGAATGTAGTCTGTTACAATAAAGTCGAGCTAGAGTAGTTGAAGTAATACAGAGTATTATTCAATCGCGACACGTGGTTGTGTTTCCCTGACAACACAACAGAGACTTAGTTTACGTTTACGAACCAGCAATTCAGGTAGGCACAGCGAAAAAACTACACAAACCATGGACAGGACCATATAGAGTCATAGAAATTTTAAGCGATGTAAACTATAGAGTCAAATTAGTAAACAAAACAAAAGAATTGGTAATTCATAGAAATCGACTAAAGCCATTTTACCAAACCCCAAACCAAAACCAAATATTAACAACACAAAACAGAAAACATTTTAATACATTTGACGAACTTTGGCCACAACCTTACACTAATGATAATTACAATAACGACCCGTTAAACATAGCTTCACACATACTATTAGGACAAAGTAGGTTCCAAAATCAATATACCCCAAGGAGAAATTTTAATAGAATCCCAGACAAGAAAAGAAAGGCTTCACCCTTACACAATTGGAGACCAACAAAAAGAAGAGAAGTATACGGACAGGTTAACAGACAAACTCAAAATTTATTGCGGGAAAATTACAGACAGTTTAGAGATATAAACAATTATGGATCTAGATATTCTCAGGGAGTAAGAAGATCGAATAGAAGGAGATATTAAAATTAAACCACATACCAAAATTTTTTCCTAATTTTTCAAAATTTCCAAAAAAAATACTATAAAATTGATAAAAAGCATCAACAAAATTCAATTTCATAGTTGAGTTAAAGGAATACTAGTTATGTACGGAGTGAGCTAACTAGTACCAGTCAAGAACATTTAACAATTTGGATGTTAGAAAACTAATATTGTAAATTACAAACACAATCTAACAACTAACTTGTTATACAAACTAACAAATTTTTATAATAAATAATTATACTTATACTATGTTACTTAAGTCAAATTAATTGTAATTAAATAAGTAGGTACCTATACTTCATCGTTTCATTTTATTATATTTTATTATTTACAGTCAGATTTTAATTACGTTATTCATTATAGAAAATGAAACTACTCTC